CACGATACATTCATGTGATGGTCAGTGAGAAGAATGCTCCTCACACTTGTGGTCACTGAAAAGAACTCCCCCCTTTACAGATAGCTAAAAAGATTAATGGTGTCAGTGGGAACGTATCTGAGAGGCAGAAATTGCTCATTGCTCAAGGAACCCCTGGCAACCTCTGGAGGAACCCTGCTGTATGGTATCTAAACTAAAGATTTATATACTCCTACTTTATGGTGCTTATAGAAACTAGACTACCATCAACTGATGCATGCAATTATGGCATGGCTAGGTGAAAATTGGCATGGCTGAAATGTTTCCCACAATCCAAAAACATATGACGTTTAAATTTTAGGAGAACTTTATAGTTCTGGCACTGACCACTTTTATCTCCTCTAGACGTTTCAGTGATAATTCTGACATTAGTAGGTCAGTGGTTGACCTTCAATAGATTTTACGGTCAACAAAATAGGAGATGTATGGTCTCAATAAAATGCATGAGGTGCTGGTGTGAGGCCTCAAACGGGGCGACATTTTGGTTCACTTAAGAGAACGCCTATGACCTCCAAGAAAATTCATAGGATAAGACCCCACAACCCTAAGAGAACATTATAAAAGATTTGTTGTTTATTTTAATTATTTAAGCAGCAACATGGATTGGGGTCGTAAGATCAGACATGAAACATCTTATTGCTTTGGTTTGGAGGCTGATGTGTAAATGGACACTCAGACACGGAACACACAAGTTACATTCGTTGTTACCAAAGCAGAGATTAGCAGCTACATTAGGGAACAAAGTAAATAAATGCAAACCGAATAGTTTTTTTCCAGTCTTTATTACCAGATGGAACTTTCTGGTAAGTTCAGTACTGTAAGGCTAAATCTTCCAGTGCTGGGTCCTGGGGAAAATGCCCACCAGGGATGGACACAATCTGCATGTTCCTCTGGTTGCCCAGAGTTCAGAAACCTACTGAAAAGTTAAATGACTATCAAACAAATTTGCCCTGGTGGAAGTGTTTTGTTTTTTTTTTTTTTTGGTCTGCACATAGGAGTTATATCAATTGATAAAATGCTTCTTAAGGTCCAAAATGTTTCCACTGTGGTCCAAGGAAAATGCTCAACTTTTGAGTGATGCTATGGACAAGCAGACTACATTCCTCCTGTTTTTGAAAAAAACAAAACAAAAAAAAAAAAAAAAAAACACTCCTGGAGGGCTTACACGTTGAGGAACTGCTGCTTGAAACCAAGCATGGTCTTTCACCTGGTGGTGTCACTGCAAGCCAAGCACAGGCTTGATTTTCAGTGACACCAGGAGGTGAAGGTCTCTTTTGAAGGACATTTTCACAAGCATACATGTTGTGTCTACACACTTTGCATGTGACGAACGCAAACGTTAACCCATTACCAACACATTTAGTATTTTCCAAAGCATGTGCAGGAAAAGGCAAGTAATAAATACCACTAACAGAGGTGGATAGTTCCTTGTACACAATCAAAAATTAATTTCCTGGGTTCCTGAGCTCAGTTGACCATAGGACCCTGGAATCTAGGCTTTCTGGAGTGGACCTCTCATTCCTACTCTCAAGTCTTGGTGACCAATTGAACTGCAGCAGGACATTTTTTTTCTCCCTTTGGTACATCTTTTAAAAGTCTAAGCCTTCACCACGGGGTACAAACCCTGAGTCTCAAAAACCCTTGAAATTCCAACAACCCTTCGAGTATTTGATGCTTCTTACAGAACGTCATCTGTGCTTTTAAGCCATGTGTTACCAAATCTAAGACATCCCAAATCTGCCATATTGCTTCTAAATACCATAAAAATTATATTAAAAAATTACAACTGAAAATTGGTGGAACATCTGCACTTGAGTCGACTTTTATGGACAGCTTCACTAGAATTATTCTGTTAACACACAAACTATACATCACAAAAATGCTGTGAAATTCATTTGCATTAATTAAACATCAACACTTTGTTGTCATAAAACAGAAATCAACTTCTTTAATGAGGCACAGGTAGTGACGCGTTCATTAAAATGGAAAAGAATTAAAATAAAACCTGGGGATAACTTACAAAAATGTATAAAAACCACTGAAGTGACGCTACAGAGATCAGCACAATGAAGGCAAACCTTCCCGAAGGAATGTATTTGTTGCCATTGCTGATATTCCTATGAAAATCTGGCTGGTATGCTGACCCTCAGGATTCAATACTTTTAGCCCCCAGACTGACCAAGTATTCAGATCGGGGTTAAGTCAGAAGTTAAATCGGAGTTCAAGGCTCAAGAGGGTCTAAAAGAAAAAATAAAAAAAATTTGGATGAACATCACAAGCCCAGCCATCAGGACTTCTGATCGTATTTTGCTGGACACATTGATTTCCTATGATTGTCAGCTTCATTTTGTGGCCATACAATGTAGTATAATTTTGAAATGCCTCAATCAGGAAAATACTGCATTATGACCACTGGATGGAGCTGATGATCATAGGAAATCAACATATTAAGCCAAACACGGTCAAAGTTTTTTATGGCTTGACGAAGGCTCGTGACATTCGTCCAGCAATTGATTTTATTATAAATAGACCACAAAGTATTGATGCCTGAGGATCAGGACAATAACCAAGCAACTAGGCCCTTGCCGGAAAAAAAAAAAAAAAAAAAAAAAAAAAATGGTAGCCTGCATGTTCGTCTCCTTACAAAGAGGACTGTCCATTGTAAAAAGTAGCAGGCCAATGATTCGATCTGTTTGCCAGTGCAGAGGTCATTCACAAATCAGTTCTTCTAAATGAAATGAAGGAAAATTTAACCAGCAAACATGTTGCCCCTGGAATCTGGTACAAAATCCGAGACAAAAAGGTGCTTCCAGCATGCAATGAAGAATCCTCCACATTGATGCAAACAGTAGGAGCAGCTACTTGAAAACATTTTTTCTTGTTTAAAATATTGATTTTTTTCCTGGAAATTAAAATCTTTAAACTATCATTTAGATGAAATTGGTTGTCTCTGGATGCTCTTATTATAAATTTGAGTTGGTGGAATGACAGACAAATCCTTAGAACCCTAAAGTACCTAAATCACAGAGAATCTACAAGTCCTTACAATTCTCCCAAGTCAACTTATCATCAATTGCCGATTAGAAGGTCATGGGTTGTCTATGCAAATTCCACATCTGATCTCCAACCAAATACTTGTTACAGTTTGTGGTCTCTGGGTGCCCTTAGTACACATTTGCGTTGGTGGAATGACAGACAAATCCTTGGAACCCTAAAGTACCTAAATCACCAAGGATCTACAAAGTCCGTACAAATTTCCCAAGTCAACTCATGATTTTCCAATTAGAAGGTTATGGGTTACCCGTGTCTATGCCAATTCCACAACAAATCAGCAACTAAATACTTGCTTCAGTTTTCCAAAGTGCATTATTAAAAATAGGCAGCTTAAAGTGTATTTAAACCCCAAAAATGTAATATATTACGGCTTACCTGTGTTTAGAAATAGTATTTTTTTTCAGGCTTTTTCCCTTTATTTTCACCTGGTAACTTATGAACAAACACTTCTCCTGTCTCGCAGACTCTACTGGACAGCTATGGTGGTCAATCAGGCTGGACCATGGGCGTAGCTAGAATGTTTAGGGCCCCAGTGCAAGAAACCATGCAGGGCCCCTCTGGCTCTCCCACCGGGGCCATTCTATCCGAGACTGGGGCTCTTTAATATGGTCCCGCAGCAGGACCCCTCACGGTAGCAGGACACCAGGGCCTGGTCGCTAGTGCAACCTTTGAAGTCCAGCCCAGTGGCAAAACTACCAGGGTCGCAAACATGTCCATCTTTGCTCATCCCCATTACACAACGGACTGATGGGACTAGTGGTTTCACAATAAAGACAAGGTTCTTTGTGCTTTCTCAAAGTAGTTGACATAGAATTTCTGGCAAGATCAATAGGTATATTCTGCCCTTGCCAAAAATGGTCTTCACTAATGCAGCCACCACATCTAAAAATGGAAGGTCGGGGAATCTCAGCTCAAGGAATGCCTACCTACTTCTGAAGGAACCTTGCTTGAGAACAACTGTACCAGATGGATCCTGCAGGTATGGTATATACACAGTTGGTCCAAGCTGGAGCGATGCAACTATGTAAAAATATCCATTCCAGGAATTATTCTTTAATTTCCAGAAAGGATCTTTGAACTCATAGTAAGTGACACAGAATTTCTGGCAAGATCAATAGGTATATTCTGCCCTTGCCAAAAACGGTCTTCACTAATGCAGCCAGCACATCTAAAAATGAAAGGTCAGGGAATCTCAGCTCAAGGAATGCCTACCTACTTCTGAAGGAACCTTGCTTGAGAACAACTGTACCAGATGGATCCTACAGGTATGGTATATACACAGTTGGTCCAAGCTGGAGCGATGCAACTATGTAAAAATATCCATTCCAGGAATTATTCTTTAATTTCCAGAAAGGATCTTTGAACTCACAGTAAGTGACACAGAATTTCTGGCAAGATCAATAGGTATTTTCTGACCTTGACAAAAATCCATCACTGATGCAGCCACCACATCTACGAATGGGTAACCTACAACAAGTAAATTTTTGTTTTGGGGTTTAGATACACTTTCATTGGGCTGATTGCTGTAACAACTCATTTTCTTACACACAAGGACCACTGCCGTTATACTGAAAGCAAGAGTTAACCAAGATTATCGTATGAAATACCCAGTCCCATGGTCCTATGCTAGTTTGGGATCCAGGCCAACGATCATTAGCATGCATAAAACGTCTTTTTGTATGAGGTGAACAGTGTGCAACCGAGACAATAAAAAATAGTGCAGCATTTCAGGATCTCTGAGGTCATCTCTCCATCCCACACCCATGTGTTCCTACAAGATGGCCATCATCGAAAAGACAGACAAGAAAGGAAAGAAGGACTTAGCAGCCAGCCTTTGCTTGTCTTCTACGCGTTCCAGTGTATCATAAATTCTTGGGCAAATTTTTATTTTTTTTTTCAAAATCTGCTCAGTTTTGGTTATCGGTCGGTTGGTTAACAATAACTTGGATGACAAAGTCCTTCTGAATCTTAGTCTCCTGTAGTTTCATCCTATCTGTGAGAAGTTTCCCAGAAAAGAACCATCTTTGCCAACAAGGTTCAATCCCCTCTACGGAATGTAGCTGCTTCTTCATTTGGCCAATAGTGTCTGACATGCTGGCACTGAGTTTAACGTCCTTTCCAGTGGAAAGGCGCACTTTCAGCTGGAACTCCCGCCTGGTATTCGGGGCTGGATCTGGGACGTCGGCTCCATCTTCTTCACTTCTTTCCATGATCAGGTTCACTGGTGGAGCCAGGCAGTAAACTGGAAGCTGGTACCGGGTTCCAAGTTCATCGTAGCATTCTGTTAGAGAACCTGAAATCAAACACACACGGTTACTTTTATCCTCAAATTTTGTGTAAATTCTAATAGACATTGGGAGGTCATTGGGCGAATGTCTCTTATATTGGTAGTGGGTCAGTGGTAAGAATGCCCATATTTCAGTTGTGGTCAGAACGTCAAATTGCCGCTGGCTCTCAACTTTCAACTGGAAGGTCAAGGAAGCCCTAGTTTCTTCTGAACTAACCTGGCTTGAGAACAACTGTTCTAGACATGGCCGGATCTAGGGGGGTGCTGTGGTGGGCTATGCCCCCCCTCCAGATTTTAGTTGTGCCCCCCCCTGAAAGCCAACCCCCTAACCTGCCACTATGTTGCCCTAACCAGCCACTATACCACCCTAACCTGATACTTTCCGGCCCTAGTTTACTACTATACTGTCTTTTGATGGACACTATACTGATCTCAATTATGGGTTGTGAGGGGAGGAGGAGCTCTGCTGCCCGTGCCCAGGCTGTGTGCAGTGCAGGGATGGGAGAAGGAGCTGTGCCCCTGCCCTTCCAGCAGTGACCCCTGTCCTCTGCCCTGCTACCGCCAATCCTCTGCCCCCCTGACATTTTTTAGTGCACCCTCCACATCAGTCAGGATAGATTCGGCCCTGGTTCTAGAGGGTTCCTACAAAGTATGGCCAAAAAGTATCAGGCCAGTCCTCCAAACCATTGGATTCAGGAGTTCCAATCACCCCTCATAGCCACAGGTGTTCCAATCCCCTCCATGGACACAGGTGTATACAATCAAGCCCCTAGGCATGCAGACTGCTTCTACAAACATTGGTGAAAGAATGGTCGCTCTCAGGAGCTCAGTGACTCCAAGCGTGGTCCCGTGATAGGTGGCCACCTGGGCAATAAGTCCATCCGTGACATTTCCTGGCTACTAAATATTCCACGCTCAACTGTTAGTGGATTATAACAAAGTGGAAGCCACTGGGAACAACAGCAACTCAGCCACCAAGTGGTAGGCCACATCACATGACAGGGCGGGGTCAGAACATGCTGAAGCGCACAGTGCGCAGAAGTCGCCAACCCACAGTTAAGACTCTGCAGAGTCAATAGCTAAAGACCTCCAAACTTGGTGTGGCCTTCAGATGAGCCCAACAACAGTGCGTAGAGAGCTTCATGGAATGGGTTTCCATGGCCGAGCAGCTGCATCCAAACCTTCCATCACCAAGTGCAATGCAAAGCATCGGATGCCGTGGTGTAAAGCACGCCACCACTGCACTCTAGAGCAGTGGAGACGTGTTCTCTGTGGAGTGACCAATCACACTTCTCTGTCTGGCAATCCCATTGACGTGTCTGGGTTTGGCAGTTGCCAGGAAAACGGTACTTGCCTGACTGCATTGTGCCAAGTGTAAAGTTTGGTGGAGGGGGATTATGGTGGGGTTTTTCAGGGGTTGGGCTTGGCCCCCTAGTTCCAGTGAAGGGAACTCTTAAGGTGTCAGCATACCAAGACATTTTGGCCAATTTCATGCTCCCAACGTTGTGGGAAGAGTTTGGGGATGGCCCCTTCCTGCCCCAACATGACTGCCCCCGATGCACAAAGGAAGGTCCATAAAGACATGGAGGAGCCAGTTTGGGGTGGAGGAACTTGACTGTCCTGCACAGAGTCCTGACCTCAACCCCATAGAACACCTTTGGGATGAATTAGAGCGGAGACTGCGAGCCAGGCCTCCTCCCCCGACATCAGTGCCTGACCTGACAAATGTGCTTCTGGAAGAATGGTCCATAACCCTCCCATAGAACCTCCTGTGGACGGCCTTCCCAGAAGAGTTGAAGCTGTTATAGCTGCAAAGGGCGGGGCTAACTCAATAATGAACCCTACGGACTAAGACTGGGGGGGCCATTAAAGGTCATGTGCGTGGAAAGGGCGGGGCCAACTCAGTATTGAACCCTACGGACTAAGACTAGGAGGCCATGAAAGGTCATGTGCGTGGAAAGGGCGGGGCCAACTCAATATTGGACCCTACGGACTAAGACTGGGGCCATTAAAAGGTCATGTGCGTGCAAAGGGCGGGGCCAACTCAATATTGGACCCTACGGGACTAAGACCGGGGGGCCATTAAAAGGTCATGTGCGTGCAAAGGGCGGGGCCAACTCAATATTGAACCCTACGGACTAAGACTGGGAGGACATAAGTTCTATGTAAAAATATCCATACACTTTGAATTCTTCTTTAATTTCCAGAAAGTAGAATGCAACAGATATAGCAGATTCGGGAAATTTAAAGCTGAACTGCACCCAAAAGGGGAAGTTCCACTGTTCCTCCTCCTCCCCTCATCCCTTGTCATATTTGGCATGGATTTTTTTCTCAGGGGGAGGGGAAGGGGGTGCGGGTATCTGGTTTTGACATAAGGGTCGAAGTTCTCCTCCACCTCCCACGCCTTTTTGGGACCCATCACAGGTCCCAGAAAGCTGAAGGACCATTCAAATTGGAGCAGCGTAAATTGCACATGCGCACTGGGTATCTGGCTGTGACCCGCAAGCAGTTACAGCCGCCTGCCCACAGTTAAGATGTCGGCACCCGAAGACCGGTGAAGGGACCAGCTACGGTGAGGACAGAGCTGGATCCCTGGACAGGTGAGTGGCTCCTGCTGCTGATCAAGTCCCCTGTGTAAAGAGGATGAGAGGGGAAAAGAGATGCCATTATGGATCTCTTCTTTTCTCCCACAGAGGGGGGGAGGGGGGGAAGGTAAAAAAATGTTAGATTTAGTATCCCCTGGAAGGTAGACCCACCACCCTCCATTTGTCCAGGTGTGTAGTGCCAGGACAGGGTCATCCAGAGCCCTGGGTGAAAGATGTATGAGCATTACGTATCAGCAAAAAATCCCCTCGCCCCCCCCCCCTTCACCCCTAAAAAAAAAAAAGGAAGAAGGATATCGAGCACTAATCTGCATGCTTAACCCCCAAACATAAATTCCTCCTCCTCCCAGTACATATCCGCCCCCTACTGAAATCCCCCCTCTCTGCACAAATCTTTGCCCCCCTGATCCCCCTTCCCCAGCTCAAATCTCTCTCCCCATATGCCCCAGCACAAATCCCCCCCCCACCCTCACAAAATTGCCCCTCTCCTAGCACAAATCCTCTACCCCTCAAATTTCCTCTCCCTCCCTCAACTCCAAATCGCCCCCTTCCAGCACAAATTCCCCTCCCCCAATCCCCCATCCTAGCACAAATCCTCTCTTACCCCCCCCTTCCAGCACAAAATTCCCCTCCCCCAATCCCCCATCCTTGCATACATCCTATACCCCCCTTCCAGCACAAATTCCCCTCCCCCAATCACCCATCCTGGCACACATCCACATTTTCCCTCCTAGAACCCATTCTTACCCCCTTCTGCCTGCAATGTACTGTGGACAGGCGGCCCGCACAGGCACCCGTACTTCACTGCCTTCTTCGGGGTTTGGGGGGGGGGGGCGCCGGCGCATGCACATGATTGTACAGAGTGGGAGTCTGGCAGCAAGTCCCGGCCATTGATTCATGGCTGGGATCTGATCAGTTGTGTCCAATCACAACCCACAGCCCTGTGCTGACAATCAACGCAGAGCTCTGTACAGAGGGAACGATCTATTCCACACAAAGCAGGGATGAGAAACTTCTGGAGATCTGGTAGTAATAAGCAGCACACATTACACATTGTTAGGCACACCCCCTTGATCGCCCCAGAAATTAACCCCTTCCCAGCCTGTGTCATCAGTACAGTCACAGTGTATCGTATTGTCACTGGTAATTTCAGTGGCAGTTAATCAGTCCCTACCCGCAGCGTCAGACTGCCCGCCGCACTACTGCAATTAAAAAAAAAAAAGAAGTGCTTGCACCATTTTTAATCTTTTTACGTTTCTCACACATAGGGCAACCCATTTATTTCAATATGCACAAAAAGCATGCGTGTTCGGTCACACCTCCTCGGTGCAAACGACTCCGAAATGCAGATCTAAGAAGAGTGCCAACAACACTCCTCAACCATGTGATAATCTATTTATAGATCAAATCCTGTAAATCTAATCCCATCGAAATATGTGCCCATAAAATGATCAACATCAACGGAGAATACAAAGGCAAATAATCTCCGAACACGCCCCGAACAACAACATCACGCCACAATGTATCCATACACTCAAACCTACACGGATACATTGTTGCTGTTATACATTTATTGGTTTCTGTGGATGTTGAGGATTTTATATGGGATAATAATCATTATGCGTTCAATTACAGAACAAAAAGGGAATAAAAAGAAGTACGTATTTGGGGATTTCAGACACTTTTTGTATATTTGGAGTTCATGGTTTCTTTTGTTCACAAACTTATTAACCAGTTGCCCTTTATAAAAGGAACATTATTAACCACATGCCCCCCAGCCACTGTATAAATACGATGGCAGGGCGGCACGGGCAGGCAAAACCACATTTTAAAACATGTGTTTTGTAAACAGGTAGGGGGCGTGCCGCCGCCTTACCTGTCCCGCCGATCACGGCCGCGGATGTCAGTCGCTGGGTCACAGCCGATCGCTACCAGCTATGTCCCGGCGATCGTCGGCAATCGCTGACAGAGAGCAGGGCTGCAGTAGCTGTGCTTTCTGTCAGTTCCCTGACAGCTCCAGGACACGCTGATCGGGACAGAAGAGTTTCTCTCTCCCGATCAGCGTGTCCCCCGTGCAGTACACACCCCGCCCCTAACCCCCCCCCCGCCCCCTAGTAAAACACTCCCCTCACACAGTTAACCCTTTCACTGAATAATAAAGTTAACCCCTTCCTCCCCAGTGCCATTAGTACAGTGTCAGTGGGTTTTTTTTTGCACTGATCACTGTATTGGTGTCACTGGGGATGTCAGTGACCCCACGTCAGTACTCCCAATGTCAGAATGTCCGCCGCAGTCCCGCCATAAGTTGCTGATCGCCGCCATAAGTTGCTGATCGCCGCCATTATTAGTATAAAAAAAAAAAAAACTAAAAATCCCAGTATCTTTCCCACCATTTGTAAACGC